AGTGTAAAATCAATGAAAACCTACGTCCTATGAGCTATGGTGTGCTGTGGGATGGTCTGTATGTCAAATGTGTTGCTGATTGGTCAATGAATAAATCACTGATTGGTCAGTGGCCAGGCAGGAAGTATAGGCGGGACTAACAGAGAGGAGAATTGAGAGAACAGGAAGCTGGGTGAGAGAGACACTGCCAGCTGCCATCAGGACAAGGAAGATGTAAAGTACTGGTAAGCCACAAGCCACAAGCCACGTGGCAAGGTATAAATTAATAGAAATGGATTAATTTAAGCTGTAAGAACAGTTAGCAAGAAGCCTGCCACGGCCATACAGTTTGTAACCAATATAAGTCTCTGTGTTTATTTGGTTGGGTCTGAATGGCTATGGGACTGGCAGGTGTCAGAGATTTGTCCTGACTGTGGGCCAGGCAGGAAAACTCTAGCTACAACGGTGTATGTCTGAACTGCAGCCTATAGACTGGACCTTTTCACCCACAGATGGGAAACAAGGCAGAAGCCAAAGAACCTCACTGTTCCCCCAATAACGCATATGGAACACTTTGTTTCTTGTGTCTACAACTTGAAAGGCTGCTCAGCTTAAAGTTGCCATTCCAGAGAAACAAGTCATGGGGTGAGCCAAAGAATGCACCAAGGTTCATTTGAGGAGGGAATTGAGCCTCTCAGCAGATGCATTGGCTTGTTTTCACCACTGAGACAACAAAGCGGAGGGTTATGGGAGTTGCTGGGGAAATGGAGGCAGCAGTCTAGGGAAGGCAGGCTTCCTTCTGCATCATGAAGACAGGAATATTTGACACTGGAGACATTCCTCAGGGAACTTGATAGTACTTCCACATCCAGAACTAAAAGCAAGACTCCTCCTCTGTTATAAATAGGAGCAGGGGCAGACTCTTCAAGAGTGAAGGGTTGGGTCATTCCACAAGATCAAGACTCATGACACCTGAGGAGTTGGCTGGCAATAAAAACAGTGAGTGGAGTAAAAGCATCATCACTAGTGATGGCCTCATGAAGAGTCCCTTAAAACGAAGACTCAGAACTACATATTTAATTCCTCACAATTTGATTTTATTTTCACAATCTCTACCCCCTCCCCCATCTCATATAAGAAGTTTGGTTAACTTCTAACTTTTCTGGCTTTAGCTTAGAAGATAATCAACTAGACATGAATATGGTGAGTTGGGGACTTTGGATCCTTGGGAGAATGACGGTATGTCCCTTTGCCTGAGAGACAGGCAGGTATCAGTGATTGGGGGGCAAGTTTATGTGGCTCATAGTTCTGAAGGTTCAAGTATAACACAAATGTCCTGGCAGGGCCCTGTTTCTGTCACGGTGTAGTGGGGAAATGTCAAAGGAATCACATGGCAGGATGCAAAGCCTGAGTGGTTCGGGACCCAGACTTGAGCTAACTCCCTTCTGAGGGTGACCCTCACAATAAGTTAACCTTTGTCACCAGGTCCCACTTTTTACCGTCCAGCACATTAGTGATCTGTCACTGCAATGAAACACCTGGGAATAAACGCTTAGGGGAAGCAACACTCACTTGGTTCCTGGTTTCAGAGGTCTCAGCACCAGGTTGCTGGCTCCCACCACTGCGCCCGAGAAGAGGCAAACTCCAAGGTAGGGGAAGGATGGGGAGCAGAGCCACTGACTCCAATGGCTAGGAAGCAGTTGGGAAGACGTTGAAGGCATGCCCTCAATGATTGACTTTTTCCAAACTAGGTCGCACTTTCTAGTGGCTACTACTTCCTAATAATACCATCAGATTATGAATCTATCATTGTGTTAGGTCCATTGATTAGATCAGAGGCCTTATTTTCTAATTAGTCCCCCAAAGTCCTACTTCTGCACATTATAATGGGGACAAAGCCTTCAACATAAGCTTTTGGAGGGGACACTTCAAATCCAAACCATGGCCTACCACCTCAATGTTGCCACACTAGGGAGCAAATTCCAGCATGTAAAACTTTGGGGGACATAGCCAAGCCCTAACAGCATAGTAGGCAGAAGCAGGCTGTTAACTAATTGTTTTATCCAAAAGTTAAGCATTATCATTCAGGCATTCTCTACGGGGATAAAGGGTGCAAAATCATGAGTGGGATGTTCAGCCTTATTTCTTTCTAATCTCTCCCTGTATCAGAGAGTTTGAGATTCTTGGAATCCGCATTTTCCATCTTTCTCAGCAGAATTCTTGGATGAATTCCTCTGATAATGTGATGGCAATTATTGTCAGTTTCTAGAACCTAGAATCGCCTCTGGATAAGCCTGTGAGGGATTATCTTGGTTGTACTGAGGTGAGTATATCTGCCCACTATGGGTGGCACCATTCCCTGGCTGGGTCCAGGACTGCTCAAGTGGAGAAAGCAACACGCATTCCTTGCTCTGTTTTTGATTACAGATGTGATCAGCTTCTCCAAGCTCCTCCCACTATGACTTCTCTGATGATAGGAACTATAACCTGCAACTTTGAGCTGCAATAAGCTCTTTCCCCCAAGTTGCTTTTGTCAGGCTATTTTATCCCAGAAACAGAAAAGAAGTGAAGACAAACAGGCGCTCCTAAGATCTGGGTGGCAGGACAAAGCAGAAGCCATTAGATTGCTCTCTGGGGTTCACAGGACACCTGCTGCAGCCTTGTCATTTTACAGCAATTTCTGTCATTTTCTTTGACAACTTCCTGGGGTGCTCACACCAGTTCCAACCCGCCTACCCTCGTAAAGAATAAACTGTTGGGTTAAGAGACTAAACTGGGGTTCCTGTTCCATGCAGCTCAATATAATCCTGATGCAATTTCTATAAAAGGGGTGACAGTTTTCATTTCCTGAAAGAATTGCATATGCAAATGTACCTGCAGAGGCGAACGTTTTCTAGACCTGGGACTGAGCAATACTCTACCACTAATTCTCATTTAAATGAAAGGTATGTATGAGGCAACCTAGTGAATAATGGATAATGCATTAAACTTCATCAGTGCCAAAGATTCTGAATCATAGAAACCGAAAACTCTTGTAATGATCCTTGTAGAATGGCTGAAGATTCATTATCAAAGTATAATTCAGGGATGGCACTTAGCCAGGTAGATGAGATAACCTAATTAAAATGCTTTCTGGAACAGAACCGGGAGAAATGAAAAGAACAGTTAACACATACATTAAACATTCTGCAAAGTACAGAGACGTAAGCAAATCACTGTAAAAGCTGTGATTTAATTATCTTCTGCTACACATCCGATAGTGTTGCTTAAAGTTATGTGCTTGAGCACCAGGAAAAAAAATAAGTGCATTCTGGTGTGAACCTGAGGAACCAGTCCTGTCTTGTGACAAGATTTCTGAGGTTTTATTTTCTTGTGTGTACTGGAGGACAGGGCATGAGCTCTGGGAGACTAGAATATGAATTGCTGCAGAACTAATAATGCTAAGAACACAGAGCTGAGGTTCACTGATGGCCTTTAGCATATGGAGATTTACACTAGCGAGTAGAGGCAGATAGGAATCTCATTCCTGGGACTTTAGAGGCAGCACAGGACAGAGAGCATGGCTTCCAACGGCTCAAAACGCAGCTCCAACACATGAGCAGCTGGTGTAAGTTAGGTAATTCTTTGGTACCTCAGTCTCCTGGTTTATAAAACAAAACTAATTTTCCTTACACTGTGGTTTCCCACGGGGATTGCATTATATAATTATAGAAATCCAGTGTTGGAGATTCTGGGAAACCCACGCGGGGGTGTGTGTGTGTGTGTGTGTGTGTGTGTGTGCAATCCACCTCATTCACTGCAATAAATTCCAGTAATTATCATCATTGGCTTCAGAGTCATGTGTAATAACAGAGCCATATGCTAGCTCTTTGAAGTGCTGATGAAGAAACAATCATACACTAAAATAACTTCATTTTAATGATGAGATGACTACATTAATTTGCAGATAAAGGACATCACTAAAAGCTTTGGCTGTTGACAGACCCTGCACAGGCACGTGTTTGTTTTTCCTGGTGAAGAGACTGTGACATGAACAGAAAACTCAGTGACAGGCACTCAATTTTGATAGGTCCTGACTGTCCATGTAAGAAAGGGGCAGAGGAAATGGATCCTTGTGACATCTTCTGAAGTGCTGGTGACTCTCATCAGTGAGTGGCATCTGGGGCAGAGATCTGCTGCTGGTATTAGAATCACAGGGCAACATGTAGAACACCCCGTGCATGAAGACACACAGGTTACTCAGGAGTTGAACCAAACCATAACTTACCATCTTGAGACGTGTGTCTCTTCTCAGGCTTGCAGTTCAGAAAATTCTAGGTTTCAGTATGTCTTACGGCTGGGTGACTTCAGCGTGCAGGGACTCCAGAGGTCATTCCAGTTCAAAACTGAAGGCTGGGACTACTTACAACCCCTCAGCTCTGCCTGACAAAATCCCATTACAGCTGTTAAGAGGAGGGCTTTTAACTCTTCGTTTCCAGCAGCATCTTGCATTTCTGTTTGCACATGCATGCTCCTGCACAGCATGACTACCAACAGACTGAATGGCAAACTGCTTGGAGCATGTGTGACTTTTGTGTTAAGATTTATGTAAAAGTGATGGAGTTTATGGAGGAAGGGGGCTTGTCACACAGAATTATAAAAATCAATATATTGGAGAAATTTGCTGCAGACAGTGCCACAATCTTCTAGGACCTCAAAGGTAGGCCAATCTACTTTAAATTTGTGAAGCAGAACCAGGCAGTAGCCCAGGAAGGGGCCTCTTCCTGATCCAGCTGTGAGGCATCAGCTACTGACAAAGGTCCACATGGAACATCCCACCACCACACACAAGGTGAAAACAAGAGCACTCTTGAAACCACACACAAGCCCCTGAAGGCAATGGTGATTGGACGCACCTGCAGGGATTTATCACTTTTATTAAGAAACAATGATCGCAAATCCAAGATAAAAACCAGATGTCTGATGAGTTTTTTCAGAGGTGAAAAATGGCTCTTTATAAGAAATGACGGTAAAAAGACACATTCAGTTTGGCAAAACGTTTTATTCAAAGAACCTCCCTTTCCTCCTTAGCTGCTCAAATATCTCCTAAGGCTGGGAGTGATGTGTGATATTTACACAGCTCAAAGTCTGAATACTCACTAATGTCTTCTGGCTGTTCTGCACACATGGCTGCTATGGGCTCCCTCCTTCTCTGATCTTTGTTCTTAAAATGTAATATTCAACGAAGCGCTCAGAGGCTGAATGAGTAAAACCCTCACTACCATAATTTGTCACTTTTCAAATCATCCTTTTTGGGAAGCTGAGGCTATTCTCTGGAAAGAAGGCAAACAGCATGGGAGTGATCGCGGTTGTGAGCCATGTACAAAGGCTTTCTTGTGCTGCTGGGAAGAACCCCTGCCTCCCACTCTGCTTGAGGAGTCTGCCTCCCCCCCAGAAAAGATGTAAAATAACTCAATCTGTCAAAGGCATCATTACAGTTTTCCCCTCGAATATGGGCCTTATGAGTGCAGACCAGGCCTTTTCTGTCTCTGGCTCCTTTGCCGCTTGTCCCTTGGTGGTGATTTCCGTAGGCAAAGCTCGAGGCAGATGTCTGTGATACTCAATGTAGACAAATACACACAGCTCTTCAGGCAGCAGTTGGCAACACTGACTTCAGGAACTGTGACATGGGAGTGTGGCAGTCACCAGGCACCCTCTTCAAAACCCCTAGGAGTCTCTAACGACCTCCTGGTGAGCTTCTTCCTGAACATCAACTCTATATGGTAATATGCACTCAAGTCTCTTCCCTCCTCCCGCCAGGCATCAAGGCAGCTAAAAGCTGGGTAACATTCTACAGCCATCCCCAAGAACTGCTCCCATTCCTTTTTGTGTTTGGAGTCATTGGGATAGATCCCCGTCCTTGGCTTTCTTGCCAGCCAGCTAATGAGAATTGGGAATAGCTGTAAGGAACCATTATGAAGAGGGAGGAAGAGGCCTTGGCAAGCATTCATTTTCTCATGTAACACATGTCAGACACTATGCCAGGAGCTGGCAGTTCAGAAATGAATTATGCATGCTTCCCGGCCCCTTCCATTCCTGGAATGTCTACAGAAAGGAAACTTCTAGAAAGAAAGAATACAACGTAAAGTTGAGAGGCATTAGTCTCCCATCCTAGCTCTGGTCATAGCAAATATATTCCAAGGCTTAAATATTGCACTTAAATATTGTTCATACTTATTTCCAAACATCATACCAATCAATAGTAATAATGAGCATATTTCATCTATATTGGCAGTTTTCTCGATGTTAGCGTGAACTGCCACAGACAAGATTCAGTCAACAGCTTTCAGCAGAAAGCCAACTGAGACCAAAATGCTTTGTTTATCTAACAGGAGCAGAATTCCTCCTAGTTTTATCTACTTGTAGCCACAGAAAGGATCTTAGTTTCAGATCTTTACAACGTGGTTTCTCCGAGCACATGTGTCTATCTGCTCAGGTTCACTCAAACTGGTTCTCTGATAACATGTCCACCACCCATAGTTAATTCACTGATGCAGAATTATCCCTGACTTCATACTTCCCCATCTCCAGGCTAAAAAGAACCAAATAAGAAGGAACAGGTAGCAGGGATTCTGTGTCCTGGGCTGAGCTGGGAAAGACTATACAGACAGTTCAGACAAAGCTCCCATGTTCATGCTCCCTTTAAGCACTCTGCCAACTGTTCCCCTGTACACTGCACCCTTACTAGCAATGCTTACAGGCACACTAAATAAAACATGCTGGACAGATATAAAAACCTATAAAACTCCTAAGATAAAGTATCAAGAGGCCCCCGAGAACAGAGGCGTGAGCGAGCGAGAATGACGGGGATTGCGTAGGAAACAGCACCAGTGAATGCAGGTGCAGGAAGGGAGTGAGGTACAGTCAGGAAGAACAAAGGGCAAAACCAAAGCCCAAGCCCAGAAGGGAGGGGGAGGGGCCCAGGAAAGGACCACAGGTTGAGAACCCCTGGAACTACCATGCACTCCTCCCAGACCAGAAGAGGAGCTACAGGCGGCCCCCACCACCCTGGCAGAGAACAGCTATGCTGTGTTTTGGTCAAGTGGGCAGGAAGAAGGGAAAAGAAAACACACAACAAACCCCAGCATCCACTGAACTCTAAATCCATCGAATGGGTTATTGGTTGTTTTAGGCGGATGAAAAGAAAAGAAAAGAATCCACAATATGTATGGGACCCTGGGTTTGACCCTCAGTACTGCAAGAAAAAAGTTCAAAAACTGAAATTACATTTCTAATAAAAGTGATAAAGTTAGCATTTACAACAGAATGTTGGTTAAAGGATATGCAGGTATTAAACATAACGCAAGCACCCACAGTCCTCTCCCACCACCTCCCCAAACACCCCAGTCAGGCTGTGATGTGGGCACAGGGAACTACATTTCCTGGCTAGTGGCTTGTGTTATTGGACTCTTCCTCTAAAGCAGGTTTACGTGTCTTCAGCTCTTTCGAGTCAAACTAGAAGCTGTTTCTGAAGCTGAAAGAACAACAACATTTGGTAGACATTTCTCTACATTCAGTGAGTCTGGCCTTGATAAAATGGCTTATTTGCCCTTTAAAAATGTTTACAATCCGCATGGAAAAAAAATCAGTCAAGAGGAACGAGTTTTTCAAAGAATGATTTTATGGATGAATGTGGAGATGATCCTGGTAAGCAAATTAAGCTAGTGTAGGAAAGACAAACATCATATTCTCTCATCTGTAGTTCCTGGACTTCGTGTAGAGACATAAAATCATGATGGATATGTGATCTGAAGGTCGAGGAAAACTGTCCAGCGGAACAACGAGGACTGGCAGGCGGACAGCAGGGCAGGGAGAGGGAAGGTGGGGACGTGCTCAACTGTGTGAAAACGTCCCACCACAGCGCCATGTGCAATGACCGTGTCCAAGGAAAATGAAAACAAAAACTTTAGAAAGGCAACTCTACAAAGCTGTAAGCAGTGTCTGCTGGACACTTTCTTCTCTCTAACCAGAGGGTGGGAGGAGGCAGGCTGGGGCCCTTCGTGTACTCTTCCTGCAGGTGTACATTTTGTTTTGTGAGTGTTCTGACCTCTTATTTGTCCCTACATCTCCTTTAATGAAACTCACAAAGTATTCATATTAAGAGGGATGCACGTTCTGAAACTCTAATGGGTCCAGTTAAATCCTGTCTGTATCAACCAGTCTCAGGTAACTACAAACTGTAGTCCTTCTCACTGGCATAGACAGGAAAGTGCTGGGTAGCTGAAGGTTCTATCGTGTTAGGAGTAATCAGAACAGAGCCTCGGGAGCCCCTATGGACAGATTCTTCTGTTAAACAGGAAGGAAAAAGTACTTTTTATTCCAGCCTTTTAAGGGGACATTTAACACTTGGTATTTATAGCAATGCTGGTCCAAGCGACCCCACATATTGAAAAGCAGCTAAGGAGCTTCTGGGCCCGTGAAGGGGTTCACATGTAGTTCGGTATCTTTGAGAACAGAGCATTACCAGCACTGGGAAGTTGTCAACGGCCAGAATGACAAGTCAGTCTGCAAACCTGGGGACTCGGGTGGAGAAACAGTACCTCCACTTAATGTAACAAAGAAGCAAGGCAGTCTTAACTGCCCTCCCCAGGACCCCAGAGGATCAGGGCACTTCTCTTTCCTGCTGCCCTTCAGACCCATCAAAGAGTGTCTCAGACAGTGGAATAAGAACTAGAGTGAGCCTAGGAGACATGGAAAGCCACATCTCAGCTTAAGAGCACAGTCTGCACAGAGCTAAAGGATGAAAGGCCTTGGTCCATATGCAAGAGAAACAGTGAGTTTGGCTGTTTGCAGAGGAGCAGAGAGCTAGGTGAGGTTAATGACGGTCTGGGTCTGAGTGGAGAAAAGAGGAACTAAAACGACATGGACCTCCGTGCTCTTCAATCACATACAATGCAGCTGAGGGCACATACAAGCACACACACGTGCTATCTGACAGGGTTACTCTCAAGATTATCCATGACAGGAAAACCAGACCTTCAGAGCAATCAGCAGAAAAGAGGCATGTTTCTGTATGTAAACATGTTCTGCTCACATGCATCAAGATCACCTACCCACACCCATCAAGATCAGTCCGACATCAATGGGAAAACAAGACCTCACTCTGTGGTGGCGGGGTTTGACCTGATTTATACATCACACTCACACCTATATATCAATCTGCTCATCAGTGACCTGACAGGTGACAACTCTCAGAGCACCAGGAAGAGCAGTCTTCTGATTACCAGTTCTCCCAGCTTTTCACAGACACATCTGAGACCTACATGAGTGTGTGGCTGGCTTCACAGGGGCAGCTGTCTCTCAGGGTACCGATGGAGGGAGCTGTGCTGGGCTACACTCCCATCCCATGTCTGTAACCAGCTAAGGAGCGTCACGTGGGAGATGGATGGCAAAGCCTCCCTCTTCTCGACCCACCCCATCTTTCTTCCTGTCTAGTGTGCCATGAACACTGCAGGACTGCTCTCAGCACAGAAAGCAGCAGGTCAAAGAATCATGTGAACCTTGCGTTGATTTTTTAAAAAGTGGAATGTGGGAGGGGGCCCCTCCTATCTGCTCATCATCACCAGCATTCCACTCACACATCACTAGGGCTCTGCTTCTTTCCCGACACACGGGAGGGAGCTCAGCCTCATCACTCCTGGGCTCTAATTTCTCACATGTCCACTGGGTCATCCGGTGCCTGACTGTGCCTGGAACATCAGATCTACTGTAAAGTGCGAAGTGTGGCGGGTGAGAGGGGAAAGAGGGACAGAAGGGTGATGGCTGTCACAACAAAGGAACCATCAGGAGCCACAGGGGCGTGGCCTTATCCAAGACTACGCATGGGTAGAAAGCAAGTAGCTCTGAGGACCTGGAATTCACCAAGTGTGGTTCTGACGCTCTGGCACACGATGCAGAGGCTATCCAATAGTCTGCCTGGTAGCCGTGTTTGTGTTGTTTACTCTAGCTCAGGGATGCCTAGGCAGAGTCTACAAACACTGTCTGGGTGGCCGGAAAAGAGCAGATGAGTCTCACCCTTCAGAGGTGCTCTGGGGCCTGTTGGGTTCAATACTGTGGTAATTTCACATGAGCCAAAGTGAAATGATAAGCAGACCTGCGCCGGAGGCCTCTAACACATAACACAGGCTGTCTGTCCCAGGCAGACCTCAATCCTTCTTGTCGTCCTTCTGCAGCTGACTTTTCGTGGTCCCTAGGTTTTTCCACACCTCTGTGTACATTAAGGTCCCAATGAAGACAAACAGGGTGCCCAGACAGTGCCATGGAGTGAACGGGTTCTGGAAGTACAAGATAGAAAAGATGAGGCTCACGAACTTGCGCAGAGTCACAACCAGCGTGACGGTGAGGGAGGTACACTCTGTTGTAAGGATGAACACACCCCGGATGCACACGTATCTGGAGGAGTGGTTAAGGCTGTTCTCTGTAAACTACCAAGAAGGAAGCTTTAGATGAGATTCCTGCCTGCAACTTGACATGCTGAGAAAACATCAAGATCCACTCTGAGGATCCTCTTTAGTAGAACTTCCAGAAAGATTCCAGCCCTGGCGTTCCTAAAAACCCATGACTATGGGTTTTCATTACAGTTTATAATGAAGGCCATTTCCAAAGTAACACTGGAGTGACATGGTCAGGAAGGTGATCCTTTACTCTGTCTTGTCCTTGGGCCCTCCACTCTCTCCTTCAAAGTGGAATTCTGTATAGCAAATCTATGTGGTGATTTCAGAAGGAGGCAGTCAACCTCAATCTGTTTCAATATTTTAAAGACATCACAACTTTTATACTGGTAAGATCCGTCTATTAATATAATTACTTTTAAATGAGTCTTCATTTGAAGTTTTTTCAGAGCTTTGAGGCAACTTATAACAGTCATGAAATAATAAAAAGTATCCTAGGACACCAAGAACCTTGAAGAAATCTCAGGTCATTTCATTTCATGACATGACTAAGTCTAAACCAGTCCATAGAGTCCTGTTTCTTCTATGTGACCTACCTGACCTGCACCATTACAGTCTACAAAGGAGCTTCATGAATGGGTCTACCCGTCTCTAGTTCACTAGTGAAGAAGTCAAAGCAAAACCCAAACTCATGTCCCTACATTGTAAGAATGGAGACACAGACAAAAGAGCACTCCAAAGGATACTGAGTCACAACATTCATGAGGAGGTAGAACCACATGATGGGCATAGCCACACTGATAACTGGAACTTGATAGAGTTCTGCAGAGGTGAAGAGAAGAGATGATCATGCCAGTGTGAACAGTTAAACTTTTCATCTTCTGAACAAGGTTATACAGGCAAAAACAGTATCAGGAACAGTAACATTATTTCCTTTAAAAACTGTTGGCTCATACACCCCTTTATTCACCTTGAATCCAGTCTCCACTAACCAAGAGTCAGAGCTCTGTGAGGACTCTTGGGATCTTCACAACTATGGTATTAATAATGAGAAATGTTGCTTTGTAAGTCAGAGCCTCGGGGACTCTCTTACACACTGCCTACTTTTTTTTTTTTTTTTTTTTTTTTTTGGTTTTTCGAGACAGGGTTTCTCTGTGTAGCTTTGCGCCTTTCCTGGAACTCGCTTTGGAGACCAGGCTGGCCTCGAACTCACAGAGATCCGCCTGGCTCTGCCTCCCGAGTGCTGGGATTAAAGGCGTGCGCCACCACCGCCCGGCTCACACTGCCTACTTTTATAACACAGTTTTAGGTCAAATGACAGACACAACACTGCACATGCAGAGCAGGCCCAACACAGTACAAAATGCGCCACGTGTGTGCAGCACAAAGCCTTGATTTAAAAAAGGTTTTCTTGTGTGTTCACCTATCAATATAACACTCTTAGATGATCAGATCGTATGCATGACCATCTACCATCAATTTATCAAGTAGCCTCTCTAAAAAGCAACAGCTTACCCTCATATAGACATTCTTTTTTAAAATGTTATTTTGTTTGTAATTAATTTATCTTGATTATTTCATCTGTATCGAGAAAACAGCCCTGTCATCATTTTGTGCCCTTTTGCTTGGTGCCAAGGCAGCTTAGATCGGTGAGCAGCTCTGCTTTTCAAGGCAGAGGAGAGACACAAGGACAGCTGACTGCCACCCAACTTCTGGGGCTCCAGTTCCAGTTGAGCACTAGCACTGCGTGTCTGCGTTCTCAACATGTAACATTCCATGTTCAAACGCAAACCCACGATTCCCAAGGAAAAGGGAAGAGGTGAGGATATTCTTATTTGCAGAAAATAGGAAAGAGCCTACAAGCCCTCGCTGTGTCAACTACTGATTGACAGCACCTGGAAGGTGCAAGGGTTCCGATGAACATGAGATAAAGCTGTAGTCAAGCCAAATGCAAAACTGAGGCTTCGCCTCAGAAACTGGCAAGTCATCCTTCCACATGACCCCAGACTTACCAGACTTATTGAACAGAACAACATGGTCATAAATATCAGAGGCCAAGAAGATGAAACCAGGAAGTGGAAGGGCGTGCTGCGGGAAGAAATGGATCACATAAAGGTAAATGAAAACCTGTTACAGAACAGTCAGGGTAGCTTTACAATGACTTGGAGCTGTCCAATAAGGAAGTCAGCCCCTCTCAGGTAAATGTATCTCGTGCCTTTGTGCCCTTGACATCATATGGCATGACGTCTCATGGAGCCCGATGGTCACCAATGAGAAGGACAAAGAAGTACTCCCCTCAACAAGGCAAAGGGGGACTTCAGCACGCAGCCATTCTGTCCAAAAGGATTTGCCCCATACTGGATTTGAAAACCACAAGGGCCACACAGATTTCAAAGAATTTAGAAACTAGTACAAAGAGATTTGAAGACAACCTGAGGCCAAGGAGAAACAAATCATGAGACGAGGCTAAAGAGGAAGGGGACACACAAGGTGCCTGACAACTACGACAGTACAAAGTGCGATCACGTCACGTGACTCTGGCTGAGCTGTCGCTATATTTGGCATTGCTCTCAACGACAGATACAAACCCAATAAAATGCTTGCTTTTTAAAACTCCCTAGCCACAAACTCTAGCTCCAAGTAAATGTGCCAAACTGCCTGTTCGGATTAATTGAGCATAGAGGGAGCTGTCTGGCCCTGGCCTGGGGGGCAGCTCTCGGGGCATATTTCAATAGCCATAAAGGAGGGCCAGGGAAAGCTATAGGGGAGAGCGCTAGGTCACCCCTGAAGACGAAGAAGCTCAGGCACATGCAGGGAACTGAACTATCATGTGAGTAAAGCCCTTCTGGGAGCTCAGGCCCTGAACCCCAGCCCCCAAGCTGCCCCACTGATGTCCACACTTCTGACCTCTTGCTTTGGGACTAATTTTTTCTTTCTGGCTTTCCATATTGGGTTTAACAATTTTACCTATAGGAACTTTGCGGGCCTTGGTTCCTTAACCCTTAAATGTTTTATCTGGTTGATCATGATCATCTCACGTGAATAATCGTCACTCAAAATGCACATATCCCCCTGCCTAAAGTACTTCAGTGTACTGGTCTAAAGACTGGTTACTAACAACAATACAATCCATCAATTACATCAGGATTTCACTTGGCATAACACATCATAAATCAGAAATTTTCACCTTCCCAGGGTTCCAGAAGTTGCTTACATTATAAAATAATGCCTCCTTGGAGTGTTTCCCAAACTGTTTGTATAGAGTCTCTTGGAATATGCCCATCCTCGCTGACATCAACAGAGCAAAAGTCAGTGCCCCGATGCCTAAAAACAAAGATCAACTTAAAAGATGCCTTTCGACATATTTTTCTTAAGGCGACAGTATTATTTACAGTTTTGTACCTATCACAAACTATAGGACATGCAAATTTTTTTTTTTTTTTTTTTTTTTTTTTTTTTTTTTTTTTTTTTTTTTTTGGTTTTTCGAGACAGGGTTTCTCTGTGTAGCTTTGCGCCTTTCCTGGTACTCGCTTTGGAGACCAGGCTGGCCTCGAACTCACAGAGATCCGCCTGGCTCTGCCTCCCGAGTGCTGGGATTAAAGGCGTGCGCCACCACCGCCCGGCCAGGACATGCAAATTTTAAACTACCACAATGCTACAATGAAATCCTCTCTAGTTCCCCATTTCCACATCCTTATACATATTTCTGTATACTAAGACAGTGTACAATTGTCTACACATTTTTATACCTTGCTTTTCTCATGAAATTCTTCTGGACTTTTCCTTTATGTCCTTTATAAATGTGTTTTCAAAGTGTGATTTAGGGTCCACACATCACCCTGTCATGTGGTTGTACCACACTTAAAGGCCTTGTGATGAGACAGTTAGATTTCCAGTTATTTCACTGAAATCAATATATACAAATACTTAAAATGTTAATTATTTCCTTAGGATAATTTTTCATAAATGGAACTGCTGAGTCAAACATTAAAAAAACTTCAAGACCTTTAAAAACTCAATACACAATATTTCTTGAGAAAGGCAATCTATTTACTCTACTGACGGCTTGTATGGAGACGGCTGTGGTACTGCTGTGGTGATGCACCCTCACAGCAGCGACAGTGTTGATTACCGTCTTGCCAATATGGTAAGGCGAAAATGAAAAGTTCTTGTCCTTGGTTTTCTTTGATTACCAGATTATGAGGGTATAAAATTACTGGACATTGATTTTTCCCTTTGCGTTGTATGTTCATATCTTTGGAATTTTCCCATTGGGTAAGTATTTCCCCAACAGTGCAGAGATCTTCTCTGGGAAGAACAGTAAGCTGGGGGGTTCAAGTCCAAAGCCAAGACAAGGGGATACAAGGGTTTGCTGCTATTTTCTTCCACGCAATCAGGGTGAATCCACTCCTGTTACTACTGCAAACATTTACCCCTCCAAATCCAAGTGAGGATGAGGCCCTGTAGGAGTTGACTAATTAATTCCACACAGAGATACTTGTATTTTTAAAAATTCTCCCGAGAGTTGATTTGGGAACACTGCCATATGGAACAGTCAACTTAAGAAGAAAATAAGCCCTTGTGCCCCTGGGAAACTGAGAGTCAAGGGTTCTGACTCACCCTTCTTTCGCAGGTACTTCCACTCAGCAGACCGGCCACTAGGAAACAGAAGACTCCCTACGCAGTGCTCCTAAAGAGCATAACAGACTTTCTATGCCTGACAAACCATGGGAAATATGGACCCACATGGAACACAGTGCCAAAAATGTGAACAGTGGCCTCTTCTAATTTTTTGAACCCCAAGGTTCAGAGACATACTGGTCCCAGTTGCCACTCTCCTCCTTGGCATAATTTGTTTAGCCTAAACTTCTTGCCAAGAAACGTGTCCCACAGGAGAAAACTCAGCAACGGCAGTGCAGAGGTAATTAGCTTTTTGTAACTACTGTACTTGCCTAGTAACCACCATGCAAATGCCTGGAATCCATCCTTCTCACTCAAGCTGGACTGCGAAGTCTAGGAAATAAGAAAATACACTAGCAACAGGGACCAGAGCCGCAAACAACATCCGAGGCGCAAGGGGAATATTTACGCTGCCCACTTCCTTCCACTCTTCTTTCAGAGTGAGTTCCTGTCTTACATAAGCACTCTAGTGCCTCTCTTCATTACCAGGTGCCTGGTAATGGGCCTGATGACAAGCAGTGAAAACAAATGATTTAAAGCTGACTCTTACCACCTGCTTTGCTGACATGAAAGTACAAATAAATATCCCTGCAGACACCAGGGCAATGGAGGTGTACTTGAACATACTGTATCTGAAAAACAAGGACAAGAGCATCTTAGCAAAGGAGAGCATGGCTAAGGGGATTTACAGTCGGGTAGTATGTGACTCAGTGTAAACGTCTACAGTCTCACTGGGGGACCACTCCCCAGTAGTGTCAACAGTTATTGACCAACTAGACTGTTACCAGAAACTGAAAAGTAAACAAAACCAGAAAACATACATACACCAGATGTCACATGACACTGCATTCTGCTCTCCAGAAGCCAATGCAGCCTGCCCAGTCTTCACCAGTACCTGTGGCTTTTCCCATCCTAAGAGCCTAGAATTAGGTCTTAACACACACACTATTCAAGAGGAACAACAGATTATCAGGTACAAATGACAAGAATCAAAACTTGGAGAATAATGTCCATTCTCTAGGGAAGGTATTTCTTTAAAAACAATCTGAATAACTTAAATGATTTTGTAAAATGTCGGCACAGTTGGATAAAGGGAGGAATGTGCAATTTGTAGAGCCAAGGGCAGCATAATGGTGACATTTCCCATTAACTAAAATGGTATCATTATGATGCCCCTCAGAGTCTTGGTAATCAAGGGAAAGGCCCCAGGAAGGATAAAAAGAAATTAAACTTACAGAATGAATCATCATTTCTTTTCTACCCAAGGACACTGTACCTTTCGGTTACAATACCTCATCAGAGCTGATCTGACTGGCTGAGATGCTGAGAGGGATGCAGGAGAGGCCCACTACAGAGAAGTGGGGTATGGAAGTGGAGGGGGACTGGTTGGGCAGAAGAAGGGCTCAGCAGGAATGGGAGAAGGACAAGAGGGCTTGGGGATGAATATAATCAAGATACATTTTGTATGTATGTATGTATGTATGTATGTATGAAATTAGCATAATGCATATAGTTAACTGCATATAGTTAATAGATGCTAATAAAACCTTACATAGCAAAAGTTCAGTCTAGGAACATCAAGTTGAAGTAGTTTAAAAATTAAGCCAAAATAATGGTTAAGAAAAACATAGATGTGGTCTTTAAAATCTCCAAAGGGCTGTGCTCAAGAAAAATAAGAAGTTAAACTTGGATCAGAGCTTGGTGGCAGGACATTTTCCTAGCATGGGCAAGGCCCTGAGTTTGATCCTGACACCATAAAGGGAGGTAAAGGGGGGCAGGGAGGGGAGGAGGGAGGAGGGAGGAAGGGGAAGAATGAATAAAAAAAGAGAAGTTAGAGAAATTCCTTTTCTGTGGGTGGTCAAAGGCTCACTCCCAAGACAACAGATTCCAAGTAAACTCTTAAGGGACACAGGTGTTGGGAAGAGCCTCTGACAGTATGAGGTTGTATCAGGAGATTGTAATTATATATATATATATATATATATATATATATATATATATATATGTATATAAAATCTTGTTATGAACCAAATCAAAGCTTAGGAAGGAACCCAGGTCTCCAAGGTGAAGTCTAGCTGTCAAGTACAGTCCTCATCTTAAACAAAACATCTGGCCATTTACTATGTCTGCATAAAGGCAGGAAGGGCTGAGGCTCAAGTGAGAGGTGGGTACTTTGGAAAAGCACCCCAGGCTGCTCCTGCCATTTCCACCCCAATCCTACCACACCACTGGCAGCAGCTACAAAGAACAACCCTGAGCCTTCTGTTCCTTCTTTGTGTCTATCTGGGTCTTTACCGGAAATTCTCTTAACATATAAAAGTATTCCCGGTTCACTACTGTACACTGATGAGCACCTTATGTGTGCTGGATATGCAGGTTAGTACGAATGCTTGCAGCACATGTGAGGCCCTGGGATCTAGCCCAGGAATGCCAAGATAAAAAGAAAACAAACAACAAAGCACTTTCTAGGACAAATGACCCACAGACTTTCAATACCACTCCCTGGAAATGCTCCATATCCACACTCTCCAATATGGTCGCCACCTGCCACATGTGGCTACTCAGCGTTTAAAATGTGACTAGTAAAAGTGAGAAAATATTTCATTTTATTTCACTTAGAAAATGTAAGTTCACAGGTGGCTAGTGGTGACCATACTGCACAGTGACTTCTGTGTCAACTCCTTTTATAGGTTGGCAAGGCACTGAAGATCCTGTGGGAACAAGAGCTGTTCGGCCCCACAGGAAGCCACAGGGAGAGCCTTTGGCCTGGTCAGCTGCCTTAGGAAAGTCATCATTACCATGATTCAGAGAGAAAGAACTCAGGAAAAGGCTGATGGCCAGGAGCAGCCTTTCCCCACTGTAGGAAAAGAAAGGTGGCCAGTCCTGTACAGAGGTGACCTGGAATATCACTTCCACATACAAAACATGAACGTGTGCTGTTACCTTTTCTTTAAAATGATAATTCCTAGAATCATGTTGGCAATCAGAGAGCCCTGTAAAAGAAGACAAGGGTGATGTTTCAGTGCACTAGGGAAGAAAACATCATGACTCACAATGGGTAAGAAAACAGACAACGGAGAACACAGGACGAAGGATGAACAGTCACTAAGACAAAGAAGAGGCCAAAAAAATCTGTCCTGAGAAATAATAAAATCAGTACAAGATTCAATGGGAATAAAAATGATCAGTTCTCATTAAGTGATCACAACAAAAGCTATGATTAATTAATAGGGCTAGATGATACTTTAAACCTACTTCCCTCCAACTTTCCATCTATTTAATGTTTAAAACTTCTACTGAGCTTTTTCCCATCTCCATTCTCAATCAAAGAAGTCTCTCCTCTCTAGAAAGGTGTTAACCAATAAAAGTTTATGCAAGTGCTCCGTCGGTGCTTTGACGGTCACCTCGATAATTACGATTATCTATGCAGGTCCCTGTAGGAATAGGACATTAATCTCACACAAATCTCAGGCAACAAGATTAACGTCATTCCCATCACCACCCATTTTGCAGTCTGCTGCAACTCCGCCTACATGTGCCTTGCTGTCTTCCCCGCTCTTCTGGAACACTCTCCTCTTATTTATATGCCAACCAGAGAGCGCTCATCACACATAAAGAATGGAGAAAACGGGTTATCATATTGAGAGAAATCCCCTTCATCCACAATTGTCCTGCCAGGTGTGATGGGACAAGCCCATAAACCCAGCACTCAGGAGGCTGAGGCAGGGGATTGAGAGTTCCCAGCCAGCCTTAACTACAAAGCAAAGCACTACAAGGCAGGGGTGAAGGTAAAGAGGCTTCAGTAGTAAGTATGAGCTCAAAACCAGCCAGACGAAGGAGACAGGGAGTCAATCTACTTCCCAGAGAAACTTTGTTTACTTTCATTAGTCATATATTAGACCTGAAATGAGTAACAGTAAGCCATGCACTCTGCACTTTCCCATCCTGTTCAAAGACTCAACACAAACCTTATGCCCTAGACTTGACTTCCTGTACGACTGTCTACCTCTGCCCCACGCTCGGTCTGCCCACTTTACCATGCTGTTCAGAGGACACACATGCGAGCTGGCACTTACTGATCTGAATATCATATGCAGGGGCATGGCAATGTTCAGATTCAGGGCATAGTTGTTCATCACGCTGACAGTGAAGAACATGGTTACCATGATGGCGTAGTACCTGCAACGGGAGAACAACATCACACGCATCCACTTTTTCAAGAAATTTTGATATAGAAGGAAATGCATATATTTGGTTTAAAAGACACTTGCCTTCCTTCCTCTCTGCTAAGAGGTAGAGAGAACCATTACCACATAAAGTCATATACTAAGTCCACATAGGAACACTGCACCAAGTCAGACTAGCAGGGGGAAAGGCTGAATTACTGAATATGCTTAAGAAAACCCTTGAATGTTTTTCAAGGGACTTAGGACTAGGATTTACAAATGTTACCTAATCCATAGTAAGACATTTTAAGTGAACAGATAATTCTTGTTTAATGTATTAATTCCTTATAGATACTTTTCATAGGCCTCTGGAGAATCTGAAAATGGTTAATTACCTTAAATATGTCATGTATATATTTATACAATATTATTTTTCTTAATTTTGAAAAAATAGATTCCAACGATTTGCTAAGTCAAGCTCATGTTCAGCCTAGCTACTGTGAAAACTATTCCTCACACTGAACCAGTAGTCTCTAAAATAATGAGGATATTCCTTGATTTGTATAGACTTATACTCAAGATCAGAGTCTTCTTTGCTTTTCTTCTCTCTCTCTCTCTCTCTCTCTCTCTCTCTCTCTCTCTCTCTCTCTCTCTCTCTCTTTCTTTCTTTTAGACAAGGTATTTCTATGTGGCCCTAGATGGCCTGGAACTCACTATATAGATCAGGGTGTGCTGCATCTGTGTCCTGAGTACTGGGATTAAAGGCATGTGCCACCACCTCCAGCCAGTCTTGGTCATTTGAGAATTCATAAGTCTTAAAACTATGATAAAAATTAAGCCGGGCGGTGGTGGCGCACGCCTTTAATCCCAGCACTCGGGAGGCAGAGCCAGGCGGATCTTTGTGAGTTCGAGGCCAGCCTGGTCTACACAGCGAGATCCAGGAAAGGCGCAAAGCTACACAGAGAAACCCTGTCTCAAAAAACCAAAAAAAAAAAAAAAAAAAAAAAAAAAAAAAAAAAAAAATTAAAATAAAAAAATTCTAGGGGTTAAGGATGTAGCTCAATTGGCAAGAGTAACTTGCCTACCATGGGTTTGATCCTCAGTGCCACATAAAGTGGGCATCTTGGCAGACACCAATAATCCCAGCACTTAGGGGTAGAGACAGAAGAGTCAGGAGTTCAAGGCCATCCTCAGCTCCACAAATTTGAGACCAACCAAAAGCAAAATGAGATTCTGTCTTAAAGAAAAATCCTATAATCATGACTTAGAAGATAAAGGGATACATATAAATGAATAAGTAAATAGTTACTATGGATAAGTAAATCCATACTATGAATAAGTAAATGGATTAAAAATTTTTATATTTGTATGTTTTCATCTTGATCTAGAAAATATTCAAGATGTCTTTCATATATATTTAGCTAAACCATATTCTTGTCAATGTTTTTTCAAATCAAAAAGGATTAACTATCAGCAATTTCAGGATTCACTCAAAAATATTTTTAAAAAACTTTAAATAAATGCCTAGACAATCTAGAGCAGAAGTAAACAATGGTTCTGTATTGTTCATAAAATATTCAACCTTGGGCACAGATTTCCAAACAGTTTTGTGTCTACATATCCGAAGAATAAACAATACCCATCCTCATATTATCTTCTTTTGTTACTAGTTAGATATGGAGCTGGAGAGACACTACAACGAGCAAGCAAAGCCAAGGCTGCATTAACAGTCTAAGGAACTTGACAACCAACCAAAAACAGTGCTCCAGGCATGTAAGACCACTAGTGACGGCTTCTCACAACTCCCATGCAACATCTGTTAGTCACTTTACAAGGCTGCTCGCCAAATTTCCTCATGACGAGATGCTCTCATGATGAGACACCATTGGGAAAAGAGTTTATCAAGGTCTTTCAGGTTAATTAATTTAATTCTTCCATGTGACTATTTACATAGCATGGCCTAGAAATTGTTAGTGGGGATGAAAGATCTGGGCAAAACTTTGATTGTTGATTCACACATAGAAAATAAAATAGTCACTGTAAGGGGACATGAATGGGGATATGATAATTAGGACAGACCATGGGGGATATAATGACAACAAGAGGCACAGGGTGCAATAATAAAATGGTAATAGGCTGAGCATGTTAGTGTATACCTTTAATTGCAGTACTTGGGAGGCAGGGGTAGGTGGATCTCTATGAGTTCGAGGCCAGCCTGGTCTACAAAGTGAGTTCCAGGCCAGCCAGGGGTACATAGTGAGAGGACCTTGTCTTTAAAAAAAAAAAAAAGGTAAGAGTCTAAAACGGAAGCACAGGTAGGAGGAGACAGAGGTCAGCCAGCAAGAGTGCTACTGTATACAAAGACATTACATTACGCTTTCACCAAGATCCATGAAAGCAGATGAGAGAACAGGAAGACCCAAAGGAGCTTTTAAAAAATGGTGGGAGCACTCGGGAGGCAGAGCCAGGTGGATCTCTGTGAGTTCGAGGCCAGCCTGGACTACCAAGTGAGTTCCAGGAAAGGCGCAAAGCTACACAGAGAAACCCTGTCTCGAAAAACCAAAAAAAAAAAAAAAAATGGTGGGATTCCTACCATGATGTACATGCTGGCTTGCTGGAACAGAAAGTTTGTGGGGACACTAAACCCAATAGAAAGGAAATTAAAATATTTAGTATTATATTAACAAGAGCCTAAAGTACAATATGAATAAACTCAGCAAGCTACTAAAGAAGGCAGAAGACTGACAAGGATGAGCTTGAGTACATGGGGGACATTCACACTCCCAAAGAAACTAGGTGATGCCACTTAAGTGCCCCTGGGAGAGCACTTCCATCTCAAGTCTCTCCAACACGAGAACCATTGCATTTAGCCCTGTGAAGATACTTAGGGCAAACCTGGACTAATGGACAGAGTCTGGTATTAACAATTTTTTCTTAGCTTGTCAATTTTCTTTTAATTGGAGCAAAATTCACACAATATAAAATTAACCATTTGTGAACAAACAATTCAGTAACATTTAGTAATTTGCCATGCTGTATACTCACTGCTTCTTTATTTCCAAAAGCCAATTGTTTTTCAAGATGCTTGATGATACTACTCTTAGTATAATCAGTAACTCTACCCACACAAAGGACAAATATGTAACTATTAGAAGTTTCCGGTCACCCTAGCCCTTCTGACCCTGTATTATACACATATGTACTTATCGCCATCACAGTTATTTTAAATGTTATGGGCAGAAATTTCATTCTAAAAATAGGTTTCTAGAGTATAACAATGTAATTCATAAAACTAATGACTCCACTGCCACCCATAACCTAAGCTTGAGAAACATGTACCTCATGCTTTTTGTCTAGGCGCCACCTTTCAGGTTTTAAAGGACTCAACAAGACTTCAAAGTGCCATACCTTAGTGGGATAGCTGGTGGCTTCCTTCCCAAGTCAGCTTCAAAAAGGAAGCCTTCCACAGCAATAAATAAGAACTGTGCGAACGTCACGATGTTCCCACATCCTGGGTGCTTCCTGTATAGTAAAGAGCAGAGGAAACACAAGGCACAAACTCAGATAAAGCACACTACAGCCTGTTATATTTATGGCACCAAAACAATAGAGAGGAGAGATTTCTGCAGCCACTGTCCTTCCTCATCTTGGCTCTCACATGCCATGCATCACACACTTTGACACTGTGTCACAGGGAATGTCCTCTGTTAGGGTTTCCTAGAGCAGCAGGCCCTGCATGAGAACTCCTCTCATTGCTAGACACATGAGCTGACTATCCCAGTAAGCTGCAGGAAATTTCCCTGTAAACTCACATACATCCCCCACTACCCAAAAGGTCTCCAGTCATGGACAGAAACATGATGGAATTCTCCTGGAATATTCATTGATTTCTACTGGCCAGGAGTTACTGGTCACGTGATAATAGGCATATGACTTTAGACTTTAATGTCCCCAAGGAGCGATAAGTAGTTCTGGGGATGTGGGGGAGGCTTGCTATTTTAACAGGGCACAGGTACATATCTTTACATAAATCAACCTAACTGTGTATCAATGCAAGGGTGATCAAGAGAAACTGTCAAAAATGGGTTCTGGGGCTGGGATAGTAAGGTAAAAATGACTGAGCAATACTGCTGGTGCACACAGCGGTTCTCCACAACCCTTATCGTGGGGCTTCAATACATCAGACAGTCAAGAGATATTCCTGGAGGTCAACAGATCCTTTTCAGTGCTCTAAGGAAGAGCCAGGAGTGCCTATTAGGAACACATGCCATAGTACAAAAGTTCTTTCTGACATCCCTCTTGAGGCATTCTGAAAATCAGTTCTGTGAATGCTGACAGTTTTCCTGAACCACCCCCAATTCTGTCTTATTGCTGAAGACATCTCAAGTGAGCATCAAAATTCCCCCCTAAGACTAGTATTAACCAGCTTCAGAGTCTGTCTTTTCATCTTAACCAGAAACACCCACTGACCCCCTGCACAGGCTTTTTAAAGCAGTTTTATATTAATCCAGTACTATTTATTAAAGCCAACTCCACTTTCTACTATGCTGTGAATATTAAATACTGATGAGAAGATACACAACTAGGTGCTGGGGCCTTGAACATGCTGTCTTAGTCAGGGTTATTATTACTGCGATGAGACACCATGACCAAAGCAACTTGGGAGGAAAGGCTCTATTTGGCTTACATGTCCACATCACTGTTTGTCACTGAAGGAAGTCAGGGCAAGAACTCAAACAGGGCAGGAACCTGGAGACAGGAGCTGATGCAGAGGCCATGGAGGAGTGCTGCTTACTGGCTTGTTCTTCATGGGCTGCTTTCTTATAGAACAGAGGACCACCAGATCAGGGGAGGCTCCACCCATAATGGGCTGGGCCCTCCCCTATCACTAATTAAGTGCCCTACAGAGGCTTGCCTACAGCCCAGTCTTGTGGAGGCATACCTCAGTTGAGGCTCCCTCCTCTCTGATGACTCTAGTTTGTGTCACGTTGACACACAAAACCAGCCAGCACACTAGGCAAGAACTCTACCACTGAGCTATATCCCCAGGGCAAATCCTTAAATACACCCCTCATGTGTTATGGGAATTCCACCATTTGGTCCAATTGGATGGGGCATTTTGGTCTTATGGGCATGGTTTTCTCTGAAGATACTTGACCCCTTAAAAAGGGCGGAGCTAAGGGTCACACGCTCTGTCTTGGGTAGTTGGAGCAGGAGCAGCCAGCCTGTGTAGCCTGCCGGCCCTGTTCAACCACAATAGCAAGGGTTTGAAAAAGGATTTTTTTCATCACTTGGCAACAAACCAGGGAAATTATAAGAAAATGTCCTACTTGTTTCTTGTATAATCAAACTCCACTACCCTAAGAGTACTCAAAGAAATGAAATTTGGCAGATGAATGTGTTTCATTTTGCAAAATTTGGAAAATTAAAATATGTATACCATACCATAGGTATATATTCAGGATTTCAGTGGGCAACTGCTTTGAGTTCTGAAAAGGCTGATTCTGTAATTACACATCTATTAGAAGTCATGGTCATCATGGGCATACCTGTACAAATTAAGACCAACAACGCTCCAGCATATGTCTCTAATAAAATAAAACTTTTTTGCATATTACCATATAAGGCACATTACAGTTATATCACACAATCCAAGAGGACAAGTGATTATAGAAAGATCAAATTGTACTTTAAAAGAAATGCTAAACAAGCAGAAAGAGGTAATAAAGACCCCCAGAGATAGACTGCTTAATTCCTCAACTCTAAATGTTCTAAATGCTAATAAAAAAGGAACAAGAGCTGCAGAGAGACATTGGACAATAGGAAAAACTGAGTTAAATCAGCCTGTGTACTTTAAAGATGTGTTGACCTCAGAATGGAAAGCAGGATATGTGTTACATCGGGGAAGGGGTTTTGCATAGGAAAAGCAATTGTTCATCAACTGACATGGTGGTTCATGTCAAAAGGAAAAACTTACCAAATTAGAGTTGGGGCAGGATTCTATTTTTGTCTTTACAGGAGAATAAAAATATCTATCTTAAGGATATCAAGAACTTTTGGATGACAGACATCTAAAAAAGGAAGGAGAACTGCCCAGAAAAAATTACCAGGAAAAGAAACAATCTGGCATGATGGTATAATTACTTCTACAGAGTAAAATCTCTTTACCTCTCAAAATATTTGTTGTCCCAACTCAATTAAAAACTGAAGCTGGCTTTGGAGTTGGAGTGTGGCTCTCTCTTTCTCTAAACCCAAGCATGTTGTTAAAAGAAAATTCAGAGTCTCTGTCTCATATCAGAAGAGCCACGTGGTATGGGACAGAAGAAAACCAAAATCTAGGGACTATTGTCACAAATCTCTTTCCCCTCAAATTTAATTTGACTCTTTAAAATTCTCCTTTAGGTATATTACTATCTTAAAAATAAAACTTTCCATTTTGATAATGATGTTTAAGTTTTCCACAGTGAACAATAAATTTTCCTAACAGCGATCTCTGAAATCTCCAAAAGGATGATGGGGCCCACAACAATGATTCTACCTGGATCACTATAATGCCATTAAGCCTATAGACACCACCCAAAGATTGGTTTTGGACTGCAAACTGCTCAAGACAATTCTAAGGGAGCTAGCTGAGATGGTCTACACTCTTGTACTACTCCAGTCAGAATTTTAGAGAAGCTTTACCCATTACCCAGAGACTGGCTACAAGTGTTGCAGCTAGTTCTACAAAGACTTAACCATTGTTTCAGTCCTTAAAGAGTCCCAAAGAGACACTATCACCCACCCACCCCCCAGATAGAAGGAAGTAATTCTAAAAAAGCAACGCCCACTTTCCCTATAGATAGGGTGGATGGTTTGGGGGTTCTTCTCAGGGTTATGGATAATTGTCATCTGTAGGGGGCTGATAATAAATTGTTATAGGGTTGGGGGTGGATCAATAGAGGTTAAACTCAGGGATCTCATTTGGAATAGAAAATGGGGGGATAGGCATGATAAGATTAAAAGGTAGGTTATCAGTTGAAAATAATTTACATTGGTATCAGTTGAAAATAAAATACATGGGTATTCTTGTATATTGATACAAATACAAAGATATTTTTGTTACACTGTATGTTTCCATTTCTAAAATACTTTTGTATATTGATACAAATTCAAAATTATTTTTGTTTATATTGTACATATGTTCCTTCTTCTGTTTAAGATATTTTGTATAATGATACAAATGTAAAATTATGTTTGTCATACTGTATATATGTCTCTACTTCTGTTTAGGATATTTTTGTATATTGATGCAAATTAAGGTTATTTTTGTCATATTGTATTTTACATTTCTACCTCTGGTTAAGATGTTTTTGCATATTGTCACAATTTCAAGGTTATTGTCCTTATATTGTACATCTGTTTCTATTTTTACATAAGTTATGACCTCTACAGCTTGTTTATTTTTATAATGTGACGCTTTAGTCCTTAAGCAACATAGGTTAATAAGAATTACATGTTAATAGTCACTCATGTCTGTCAAACTTATAGTCATGTTAGTTACGTTTTCAAGGTCATATAGAGATATATTTCAGACAGATAGGCCACCTTCAAACACTCAAAGACCTACAGAATATGGCATTTAAAATGTTTTAATAACCTAGAATCCTTTTGATGTGTGACACATCTGTTCCTGGCAGTACTGATCTACTCCAAGAAGATGATGGGCACTGAAGACACTCCATTGGCAGTTCGTTTTCTTCTTGGCAAAACTGCCCTTGCCTTGACTGCTGACAGTAAGTACACTGTCCAATCTGGACCAGCAGGACACAAAGAAAAGCAACTGCCAAACTTTGCCAAGACAGGGTAGGACAGTTCTTCAAAATGTCCTGCTTCTGAAAACCGTCTGTCAAGATATTCTAGGCCTATAAGCCAAAGCTGGATGCCCCAAAGTTGCAGAGAACCTTGGGTGACTGTCCAGGCAGCCAGCTATTTCTGTCATTCCTGACATTTTTTTTTTTTTTTTGGAAGTTACTTGCACTTCCTGCTTACTCAGGTAATTTACTTTCCTTCTCAGGTCTTTGATTTGAGGGTTGAAGCCTCAAAAGTTACAGTTACAATCCTCCTGAATCTTTTCCAAGGACATATTAGGTACAAAACTTAGATTCTTTAGGAATGGATGACTATTGGAGTAATCTCTATGAAAATTTGCCAATTACCTATGGTCTAGATGTCTAGGATGTATTCTTTATTTGATAATTGTTCTTGTTGTATGTAGTTTCAAATATTAAGATTATTACCTTTCCTTCCTTCTGGACAATACATGTTAATAGTTTTTATTGTATATAGTTTTTTTTGTTTTTTTTTTTTTTTTGGTTTTTCGAGACAGGGTTTCTCTGTGTAGCTTTGCGCCTTTCCTGGAACTCACTTGGTAGCCCAGGCTGGCCTCGAACTCACAGAGATCCGCCTGGCTCTGCCTCCTGATGTATATAGTTTTTACTAGGTTAGGATTAGAACCTTTCTTTTATTTTAGCCAAAAAAGG